TGGTATTCCCAGGTCTCTGAGTCCCCACGCACTCCCATATGCCTCTGAGTGGATTCATACCGCATTCGGACCCATTGTCTTGCCTGCGCCGTTACACAGATCTACTTAGTTAGTGGCTCTAAATTAGTTGTTTACAGTACCCTACTGTTTTTAAGATAGCCCTTAATTTCCTCTCTATACTAGCTACTAGTTGCGACTGCGAGAGAGCTTTCTCTAAAGGCAGAAGGACTGTTACTTTTAAAAGGAATCTTCTTAGTGGAGCAATAATTTAAGCAGTACAGCTGTAAAAGAATTAGCTTTATTATAAGCTAGTTGCTAGTAAGCTTAGTAAGTTAGTTAATTACATAAAATCTGCTCTATCTAATTGTACTATAAACTAATTCTTAGCAATTGTATTGTAAGTACAGTAAATTAGTTTGTACTAACTACAATTTATAGTCCCCTCTGCTCCTCTAGTAATTGTATAATTGTACTAACAAACTAAGTCGTAGGGCGGTTGAAAACTCCCAGTCGAATCGTATTACTTCCGATTGGTTACGCTGAAGTCCCCTACGGGGTGAAGGAATTGAGGGGTACCTTGACTTTCCTCCAACTTCAACCTGATTGCACATTATTGTATTTATCAAAACAATAGCAGCGTCATACACGTCTGAGATAATATGATTGGATGTTTGGAGGTCCATGGTGCCAGTCGTTTGTCTCCCGAGAAGGTTTCCTCGTCCATCACCCACGAAGCGATTAGTACTCAAGACAAATAAGCAGCTTGGTAAACGTTATAGATATCAAAGGTTCTGGGCAGCAGAACTGTAGCGTAGAGCTCGGACAAGATCGAGAAATTGACAGAAGCTGTTGCGCATGCAAACACTGGTCGAGGCGGTTGGTGTCTTGTATCTACCCGTTTGCAGAGCCGGCTTGCGTGATCGTGGATTGTTTTACAAGAAAGGAAAGCTGCTTACAGGAGTGCAAGGCTGTGACTTTGAAGCTTTTGGGGGCGCCAAGCTCACGGGGCACTGAGTTGATTGATAAAGGAGTGTACAGTTGCCTACTAAACGTCATTAGCCACTCAACGATCTCAGCTCTGCAGGAGTATAGTTGGCCTATTTAGGAAGGAGGCTAATTAGCTAATTGCTACCTAAATTAAAAGATATTTGTTTCTGTAAAACGCTTATATTTAGGCCCACTTTCTAGAGTTATAGTTAATTAATAGTAAGTTAACTTGCCTTTGCTTAAGCTAACTTCCTTTATAGGCTGTAACTAAGAATACACTTGTTATTATTACCTAGAGTAATTTTTGCCTAATATTTTTTTTTTACAAATATATACTATCTACTTATAACGTACACTGTGGGCGAGTTGCTCACACACCTGAGTTGCTTACTTTTGCTAAGACTACACTATAACAGATTCTATTATAGCCTATAATAACCCGCTCTAGCACTATATAGTACAGTACAGCCTAGAATATTATTTAGATACTACTTCTACTTCTTACTTACACATTTACGTGTTATGCTTAGTCTAATTGCACTATCTACAGCGCCTTTAAAATAGCTTACTTACTTTAGCTTACACTTACTTTTTTACTTTTTTTTTATTACTAACGTACTTCACAGGCGAGTTGCTTACACACCTAAGTTACTTACTTTTACTAAGACCCTACTAAACTACTTTTTTTACACTAATGCATTTCTAACAACACTACTTAGATGTGCTAAAAGAATATTAAATATAGCTTACACTTTAAGCTTTTAAATAAAACATAAAACTTTTAAAAAAACATGCTGTAGCTATATATAAAGTCTTTTAAAAGATAATAAATAACTATAGTGCTAGATAACTTTTATAAGCTAATTTTATAGCTAACTTATAAAAGCTAGGTAATAATAAAAAGTAAGTAATTATTAAGACTATACTTAAGCTATATATATATATAAAGATTTTCTTCTTAAATAGCATTTATAGCTAATATATCTAATTTTTTGCACACTAAGTATAATCTAGGCTATATTAGCATAAACTAGCCTAGTATGTTTATAAAATGTGATTTAAAGCTTAATATAAAGTTTTAAGCATAAGTATAGTTAATAAATATTTAGCTTATAATAAAGCCTATTTTACTAAAGTTATACATGTTATTATTCTAAATACTATACTTAGCTTTAATATTCTTTATAAGGCTAAACTTGCCTTAAATTACTCTAGAACTCTTATAAAAAGCTTTTTTATAGTTATACTATACTTAAATGTTACTTTAAGGTCTAAATAACACTTTCTAAACATACTAGACTAGTTTATGCTAATATAGCCTAGATTATGCTTGTAACGGCGCAGGCAAGACAATGGGTCCGAATGCGGTATGAATCCACTCAGAGGCATATGGGAGTGCGTGGGGACTCAGAGACCTGGGAATACCAAT